TTTGGAGCATCTTCGCAGGGGAACTGTAACCAATGCAGAAATTGAAGAATTTGAACGCATACTTAGAGAGCATTGTTTCCCCACAAATTGTGTTAGTTCCTAGGACCAGGTTCCTCCTCATGTTTTTCGAGTATTCGGGACACGCCAGGCAAGCAAACAAATTGTTCAGGAGTTCTTTGAAATGAAAATTCATGATCCCACAATTCAATGCACTACTGTCTTGGCAACAGATGAGGTCGAATGTGCTGGTGGTCAGATTGCCCGTGCTAATGCCAAAGCAACATGGCAGCTAAACTCGAAGTGTCACGTGCCAGAGTCTTTGGTTGTTTTTGTTGGAGCAGTAATGCGTTTGACATTTAATAACACTCACCCAACTGCTACCTTACCACGCTTCTCACAAGGTCAGTTATGTGTTGTTCTGTCTGTGAACACAGATCCAGTTCCCCATATCACAGTTAAACTAGTACCCCCAGGAGTGCGCAACTTCAACGTAGACCACCTTCCTGCAGAAGAGTTTCGTTTGAAAGTACGGTCGAGCCTTCCCATGATATTGCCAGGTACTCCAACAAAAGCATGGCGCAAGCAGTTTCCACTAACTTACTTTGTGTGTAGTACTGTTCACAAAGCAATAGGGGAAACACTCACGCACATTGCTACGCAAATTAGCCTCCAGCACAGACAGTATCGACTTTGGGAACGAGAACAGTTGCTCGTCTTGCTTAGTCGGGTGCCATCATTAAATGACATCACATTTGTCACAACAGACATTGAGAAACACCATTGCTGCTATCATAAAACTGTTGACACAACCATCTCAGTGGGCTACTCATATTGACAGAGTTCTGCAAGTATTAGATTGTCATTATCCTGGTCCACGGATTTTGCACCATGAACTCAATCTCTTTCCTGGTATGCTTCAACTTATACCAGATGTCAACTTGGGTTTTGTGTACCTCATTGTCAGCAGTAAAGAATGTCGTTTTGCATATGTTGGAGAAACTGGCTGCATTCGTCGTAGATTGCAAGAACATAACAGCGGTAGAGGATCTCATTTCACTGACAACCCTCTTTTGCGACCGTGGATGCTAATGGTCTTAGTTTCTGGTTTTCCGCACACTGCTGGCTATGCTGCAAACATAACTGCTCGCAAGGCTTTTGAGGCCCGATGGCACTATCGCAATGCAAGGTTGCCCACGGCTGATGTTCGTGATATTCTGGCTAATGGCCAAGAGGTTTTTGCAACCGCAATTCTCTGCGGTACGCGTTGTGGAAAATCAACAGCATGCTTATTTAGCCACTTGCTGCATGCAAGTCGCACTGCAACAATCCATACATTACTCTTCATAAGGGAATAAGTGATATACTCTCTTAGCACAGACAGTATTCATTTTGCGAACGCAAACAGTTCGTCAGTTTCCTTATCGGGTGACATGATGAAATGCCATCACTTTGCTCACACCATTGCTCGTTTCATCAATCTGTGACAGAGTTCTGCGAGTATTCGATTTCTATTGTTGCGTGCCATGTACAGTGTGTATATTTGTTGCCATAGGTTTAGATGATAAAGTCTGGTATTCTTACAATGTTATGTGCAACTTCCCCTGCAATGGTGAGTTGCAGTAGGTGTACAATGTATATTTTTTCACCTAGGTGCAATTAATGTTACTCCCATGTGCTTATAATCCATTTCAACTGTTGTGTTCACTTTGCGAATAACTTTTTAATACCGTTTTTGTCCTTGTTTTAGTGGGGTTCTTGTATAGTAGTGCAATGATGTCATTGCAACGCCCGTATTGTGTGATATGCGCACAGTGATAAGGTTCCGATGAAGATACTACAGTACATTATATTTCTTCCTGCGAACTATTTGGCAATATGCATTTAGGCTTTCGCCTTTCAATACATATGTATTCATGCATTCCAATGATGCACATAATAATGCCCATATGCGGCTGTTAAACCCAAAATCTCACCACCCCCTCCATCCCCCCACCTCACTGTAGGTGATACTGCATGGATAAGTCAATCTAATAACCTTGAGTCATCTACTTTGGATCCTATAGCTTCAGTTCCTCTATATGTGTGCAGCAAGTTCTGTGTTCAAACATAAACTTCGGCTAAACTCTGTATATTTCTTCGCATACAACTAACATCATTCGGTTCGACATGAATTCATTCAAGTTCTGTTCTTAACATGTCATGTGCTCCTTTACCTGCAATGGTGACTTGCAGTAGGTGTACAATTTGTATTTTTAAGCTAGGTGCAATAATAGTTACTCCCCTTAGTTTATGATTACTTCCCACAGTTCTCTTTACTTTGCCAATCATTTATAACACCATTGCATTTATACCTTTTGTATAGTAGTGCAATGATGTCATTGCAGCTTCCATATTGTGTGATATGCACACAGTGATCACGTTGAAATACAGATACTGCAGTCGATTATATTTCTTAATCTAAAGTATTGGCCAATATGGGTTTATGTTTTTGGCTTTCAAGATATATCATGCATATATGTCTTCACAGCAATTGCTGTATCATGACAGTATGTTGTGCACAATTCATTTTGCGAAAAGTATGCCTACGAGTTATTGATCATGCACATGTTTGGCTGTACCAAAAACAAGCGCCCCCCTCTCATTGTAGGTGATACTCGATAAGTCAGTCTAATACGCTATAGGTCGTGAAGTAATCTACTTCAGATCCTATAGCTTCAGTTCGATTATGTGTGTGCTGCAAGTTGTGTGTGCAAATGTGAACTTTGTCTAAACTCTGCATATTTATTCGCATAGAAATGATATTGTTTTCTGGGCGTTTTATTTGTCATGGCGTTATTGAAGTGGTATTCTTAAAATGTCATCGGCTCCTTTACCTGAAATGGTGCCTTGTAGTAGGTCTACAATGTTTAGTTTTAGGCTACGTGCAAGAAAAGTTACTCCCATTTGTTTATGATCACTTGCCACCATTGTGTTTACTTGGGCAATCTTTTGTAAGACCATTTCAGTACTCATTTCATTGCGCGTTTTGTATAGTAGTACAATGATGTCAGTGGAGCGTCCATATTGTGCGATATGCACACAGTGATAACGTTCCACTGAAAATACTGCAGTCCATTATAATCTTTCTTCATCTAAACTATTTGCCAATATGGCTTTATGCTTTGGCCTTTCAATACATAACATATGTATTCACAGCAATTGTTCTATCATCATAGTATGTTCTTCAAAATTCATTTTGGGAAACCTAGGCCTATGAGTTCTTGATCATGCACATATTTGGCTGTACAACACCAATGACCCGCCCCTATGTTATTGTAGGTGATACTGCATAAGTCAGTTTAATAAGCTATAGGTAGTTGAGTCATGTACTTCAGGTCCTATAGGTTGAGTTCGATGATATGTGTGCTGCACGTTGTCTGTGCAAATGTTGACTTGGTCTAAACTCTGTGTATTTATTTGCATACAAATTACATGCTTTGGTTTGTCGTGGCTTTATTCAAGTTGCATTCTTAAAATGACATGTGCCCCTTTACTTTCAATGGTCACCTCCAGTAGTTGAGCTTCAGTTCCATTGTATGTGTGCTGCAACTTGTGTGGGCAAACATAAAGTTCGTCTAAACTCTGTATATTTTTGCATAAAAATGACATCGACATTTATTCACCTTGATTGTCGTTTAATGTTATACTTTTCCACTTGTTGTATGCTACAGGTGCCATATTCGTATAGATAAATCCACATATATATGTTACCATGTCATTGAATAAAGTCCTTTTCATTCATGAAATATATTGTATTCTTCATGTTTTATTACAGGACATTTGCAGTACATGTAGCAGATTTGCAAGTTTCATAGATCGTCTCATTTCTCACTTCTCACACGTACTTCTCACTTCTTCATTCATATCACATGAACTGTTACAATTTCGTGACACTTTCAAGATAAACCATGTTGCGTTATAGAAACGTATAAGATTGTGAGTAACTTAGGAGCTGTTTATTCACACGTCAGCGTGGCTTGCTTACATGATGGAAAGAGCGCGACTGCCACACGTGCAGCGCTTACATACGGCAGTTCGGTAGCAGGACCCACCGTCACTAGCTATATGTTAACACTTGAACACGCGTTAACCAATGGTGTAATCACTAACACAACATCTCCCTTTTTGGAGCTCTGAGAGAGCTTAAATGAAATGACTGCTCATTAAGTTCTCAGTTAGAAAAAAACACATATATAACTTGACTGAACACATAATTCATATCAAACGTAACCTAAACAAAGTGCTTGTATTTTGACGGGAATCTCACGACCCGACCGCTCCTGGTGGTCCGCGGATGCTGCCGCTTTACGTCGGAGTGACGTTCTGGCGGATCTGGTAACCCCTGTCCGGGTGACGGAGGAGCAACTGTCTCTAACACCGGCGAGGGAAGAGTTAGAGCTACCCTCGGTGACTCAGGTGACGGAGGATCTAGCATCACTGGCGTCGAGGTACCAGGTGTTACCGGGCTAATCTTGTTGAGCTGTTCCTCGTAAGTGCCTGGGAAGTTGGGGTTGTGACCACATTGGAACGGGAATGCCCACCAGTTCCTGACACCACACCGGACTCCTGTCTGTCAGGCACCCAGACTTCGTCTGTTGACTGGAGACTTGGCAGTTCTTTTGCTCTTCTACGAAGATCGAAGTTGCGTTTCGTTTTCTCCCTGTATGCTTCCTCTCTCTCTCTCTAATCTGGCTTGTGTTTGGCGGTTGTACAGACAACCCTTTTTGCACAACCGGGATCCTAGTTCGCAACGACCTAGCCATGCAAAGTTCTGCAGGGCTATATCCGTTCAAGAGAGGCGCATTCCTATAATTGAGCATTGCGATGTATGGATCACCAGCAACGGATAAGAGTCTTTTTACAGTTTGCACTGCTCGCTCTGCCTCACCGTTGCCTGATGGATGCCCTGGGCTGCTAGTGATGTGAGCAAACCCAAACTCATGGCTGAACTGCTCACACTCCTATGAAGCGTACTGCGGACCGTTATCTGAGATGACAGTCTCTGCAATACCGTGCCGGGCGAAGATTGACTTCATGTGGTTGATCACGGCCCGAGACGACGTTGACTCCAGCCGAGATACTTCGATGTATCGCGAGTAGTAGTCTACCACCAGTAGATACTTACTCTTCTTTAGTTCAAACAAATCCGTGGCAACTTTTTGCCATGGCCGATCTGGCATTGCTGAGGGAATGAGTGGTTCAACTCTGCTATTGGCAGATTGGTTGCATTCCCTGCAGCGTTCCACAAGATCTGCCAGATCTCTGCTTACACCAGGCCACCATACAGCTCGCTTCGCTAGTTCGCGGCACTTCACTATACCCTGATGTCCTTCGTGCAGCTTCTCTAAGATGTCAGATCTTAGACTGCGAGGGATGACGATCCTAGTGCCACACAGGAGATTATCCACGACAGTCAGCTCCATCCTATGGGGCCAATACTGTTTCGCGAGCCCTTTCAGACAGTTTCTATCAGGCCATCCTTCCTCCACATACTGGATCACCTCGCGACATACGTCATCCTCCTGTTGGTGGTCACGGATGTTTTCTAAGCGTTTATCTGTTGCAGGAATTGATTCGGTAATCATCCGCACAAACGCATCTGTTTCCTGTTCCAACGTACCATCGCTCTGTGTTGGCGGATAGGCCGGCGCACGGGAAAGCGCATCAGCAGTGTATAGCTCCTTACCAGGCACATGAACGATGTCGTAGCTATACCGCATCAACCGCATGCGGAACCTTTGGATCCTCGGCGGCAATTGTTCCATATCCTTCGAGCTCAACAGGGAAATAAGCGGCTTATGGTCAGTCTCGACCAGAAACTTGATCCCGATGAGGTATTCCCTGAATTTCTCACATGCCCAGACGATGGCCAATGCCTCCTTGTCAATTTGCGCATACCGCTGTTCGGTTGGAGACAGAGATCGTGATGCATATGCCACTGGTCGCCACTCCCTACCATCTCTCTGTGTGATGACGGAACCGAGGCCATATAGTGAGGCATCACTGGTGACCTTGGTCTCGCGAGAAGGATCATACAATGCTAAACATGAAGCATCTGACAATATACTTTTGATCTTCTCAAATGCTGTCTCCTGCAGTTTACCCCACTGCCACATGTTTGTCTTGCTGAGAAGATCTCGCATAGGCTTGGTCAACTCAGCTAAGTCAAGGGTGAACTTCCCCATCTGATTCACCATGCCCAAAAATCTCCTGAGTTCGCTGACATTGGTTGGCACCGGCATGTCCCTGACAGCACCAACCTTTCCAGGATCAGCTGTGATGCCATCTGCAGACACGATTTGACCCAAACACTTGATGGAGCTCTGGCTAAAGACACACTTGTCTCGGTTCAAAGTGATTCCGGCGTTCTCTAGGCGAGTAAGAGCCCTAGTCAAGTTCGCATCATGTTCTGCTTGGTTACGACCAAAAACTATGACGTCATCCATTAGTGAAACTGCCCCCGGAGTACCATCTAGAATCTGCGCTATTCGCTTCGAGAAGTGTTCCGGAGCGCTGGAGATCCCGAAGGGAAGACGGTTGAAACAGAAACGACCAAATGGAGTGATGAACGTCGTCAGCTTCCTTGACTTCTCTGATAAAGGAATCTGATGAAACCCTGCTTTAGCATCTACCTTAGAGAATACTTTCGCATTGGCCAGCTGCCCGAGTACATAATCGACTGGCGGTAACATATGTCTTTCACGCTGGACTGCCACGTTGAGCTTAGTCAGATCCACACACAGGCGAACGTCTCCTGATGGCTTCGGCACAACAACTATAGGAGCACACCAGTCCGTCGGCTCTTCCACCGACGAAATAACTCCTATCGCCTGCAGTCGGCTGAGCTCTTCTTTCACCCTGGGAAGAAGAGGGAGCGGAATCCTTCGTGGCGCACTGATAGCGTACGGACGTACGTCTTCTCGCAGCTTTATCTCGTATGGAGTCTCCAGCTTCCCGAGTCCGGTAAACAAACTTGGAAACTTCTTTTCGACTGAGCCAACAACAGAGACGATTCCAAGTTCATGGGAAGCTTTGCCGCTCAACAGATTCGAGGCTTTCTCGAAGATGTAGACTTCCTCTACACACGACTTTTCTTTGAACTTCATCTCAGCACGGAAACAACCATAGGTATGGATAGGCTTATGATCAGCCCCACGGATTACTCTAGAGGATGACTCCAGCCTGGTCCCCGGAAACTCACGGTCGAACACTTGTCGCGACATTACAGACACATCGGCCCCTGTGTCCACCCGAAACTTCACCTCCTTATCACAGACCGTGATAGGAAATGTCCACTGTGGGCTGCGACCTGACTGGTTGCCCACTTTTACTTCTCCTAGGAAGACATCTGACGAAGCGTATGAACGAGACTGTGTAGTTACTTCATTTACTGTCTTGGCCTTCCGACATACCTTCTCAAAATGCCCTTTTAGTTGGCATCGCCGGCAGTTCACATTTTTGGCAGGGCACAGAGAGCGATTATGAGCATAGTTTCCACACCACGGACACCTCTTCGACTCGCCTCGTACCTTCTGACCATACTGTGACGTCGAACGTGCAGACTTCTTGTCATATCGACCTTTGGCATGTACGGCTAAAGCTTCAGCACCGACTACCGTAGTTGACGTCAACTCTCTTACCTGGTTCTTTACCTGGGCTGACTGACGAGCCAGGTCTGTTGCAAGCTTCAGGGTTAAGTTCTTATTTACTTGCATACGCTCAGAGAGATGCTTGTCTCGGATGCCAACAACGATTCTGTCCCTAATTAGCTCTTCCTTTAGAGTGCCGTATTCACAATGCTCGGCGAGTGTGTGTAGAGCAGTAATGAAGGAATCAATTGGTTCATCCAAACCTTGCACTCTCCCGTTGAATTTAGCTCTTTCAAAGATTGTGTTATGGCGGACAATGAAGTATTCCTCGAACTTCTTCGTGTTGAGACTCATCACTTGCTTCTGATACAGCAAATGTAAAGGAAGAAAATATCTCGTCTGCCTTCTCTCCCATGCAATATATCAACGTGTTCACCTGGTGCTGTGGGGATTTGTCGTCTAACCCTGAGGCTACCTTGAACCGTTCAAACCGCTTTATCCACCTGGTCCATGAGTTAGGCTGTGAGAAATCGAACGGCTCTGGTGGTGACACTTGAAAATTCGCCATAACACATACAGTAGGCCTATAGTGCTCCCGACACAGACGTGTGCACGTGAATTCGTTGCACGTATGAATCCCGTTTCAGCTTGCACAGTCTTGCCTGTTTAGTGGGTCAACCCTGCCGAATTACCTCCAGATAGGAAGATAACCAACAGCTGTTAACGCCGCTGCCAACATGTTGCGTTATAGAAACGTATAAGATTGTGAGTAACTTAGGAGCTGTTTATTCACACGTCAGACATGTTGCGTTATAGAAACGTATAAGATTGTGAGTAACTTAGGAGCTGTTTATTCACACGTCAGCGTTGCTTGCTTACATGATGGAAAGAGCGCGACTGCCACACGTGCAGCGCTTATATACGGCAGTTCGGTAGCAGGAGCCACTGTCACTAGCTATATGTTAACACTTGAACACGCGTTAACCGATGGTGTAATCACTAACACAACAAACCATACATAGCTATTTTGCCGTTTGCTGATGTTTAAATCATGCTCCTTTAGCTCATGCAGACTATATCATTCCCATGCTTACATAGCTCTGCACATCTCATTTCTTAAATTCTTGCAATTCGAAGAATTGCAACTTTGAATTCGAATGATGCTTCGCTTTTTTACAAATTCTCATTCTTGGCTTCTCCACTTCTCACTCTTACTACATTCGACTATGTTGCGACACATCTTATAGTGAAGACACCATAGTTCGCTCGGCTAGGTTAACTTGCATTACACTCGTAGTAATATTTGTAATACCAAACAGCTTATCATGATAACAGATAACACTCGCCACAAATAGTGTAATTCCCTCAACAGTGCTGCCGCACTGCGGCCGTGTTGATGCTTGTTCAGCGTACTTATATTATAATCGGCGCTACACCTCACCAGGATTATCGTTTTTCAGATTTCCCAAGGATCCTGAAAGGTTGTATTTCATTTAAATCATATATTCGTATTACCAGAGCAGTGTAACTACGTATGTGACTGTAGCGTAGGTACTGTAGATTCACATGTATGGTACGTATGATGTGACTAGACTGAGATGTACGCATGTCACTGTTGATTGACATGTACGTATGTGATTTGTAGACTGAGATGCAGGTATGTGACTGTAGATTAAGATGTACGTATGTGAATTGTGCGTAGCTGAGTGTAGATTGAGATGACATGTATGTTACCTATGTGACTGTAGAATGGGATGTACGTATGTTACTGTAGAATGAGATGTACTTATGTGACAGTAGTCAGTAGATTGAGATGTGTAATGTTAAACTCAGATGTACCTTATGGCTTTACCATTGGAAGCTCAATATTTACTTACACATAGTGACTATGTTATGGCTACTGTGCTGTACCAAATTTACATGTACTTTACTCACCCAATAAATTAACAGCATTAAACAAGCCACAATGTTTGTAAACTAATAAAATGCATTTTATATTTATTTGACAGGTGTAAAAAATAGGTAGTGAACACCAACCTTCAAGTCTACAGAATTATGATATTTTATATGAAAATACGATTGCATCATGCTTTGAAAATGTTTAATATTAACACCACGAGTGCATCAAAAACATGGAAAAGAAATAGAAAGGATATGGAATGACAACATTTGAAAGATAGATACATTTAGATATTACATTCATATAATTGCTATTGCCAAGGATCAGTCATTACATGTCGAACAACAAAATAATCTTATCTCTTTGTTGAGGAATTTTATTTAAGCACGTGTTTATTATGTGGGATTGACGAACATAGTCACTCTGCTCCGATGTTTTAATTATATGACCATATTCAATAAAAATGCATCAAAATGTAATGATAAGTATTATCTTGCAATGGTTTATAGTAATTTTAATCAATCTGGTCACTAGGTGGCAGCACTTCCAATCCAATTACATAGCCTTAGATAGGGAGTGTCACCTCTTATCATTATAAGCTCTGGTAATACTCACATTCGTATTTCTATTTCTATTTCAACACATTGGTCTGATGTAATACATACAAGGCCGATTTTCACCGACATTTCAAGAACTTTACTTATAAGACTAACTATAGTGTTAACTCCACTAACTATACAAACTACACTATCTTTACTGTTAGACAACTTTTTACATCTTTTCCAAAAGTCAATGCCACAGCTTTTGCTCAATCACATATCTTCGGCAGTGACATCAGCTCTCACTATGCCCACCTCACCTCCACTGCCAGCTCTCACCACGGCCACATCACCTGCACCTCAACGTCTCACCAGGGCTGCATCAGCTGCACCTCCACCTATCACGACTTCTGCATCAGCTCCACCTCCACCTCTCACCACGGCCGCATTAGCCCCACCTCCACCTCTCACCACGGCTGCATCAGCGCCACCTCCTCCACCTCTCACCACGGCTGCATTAGCTCCACCTCTACCTATCACCACACCCACATCAACTCCCCTGCCACCTCTCACACCTCTTCCAACTTCCACCCTGACTGGAAAATTTAGCTCCAACAGCTGCTGTGCAGGGACTGCTGGTGCGGGGAAGCGATATCGAGGTGCATCATCTAGCTGATGATCCGGTCGAATGCAGGTCACATGCATTTCGGCCTCTTTTGCCACCTCTGCACCTGGCACCATTCCGGGCTTGAACCAGCCACAGATTGTCCATCCAACACCCGCTTCATGGTAAAAGTTTAGCATCTCCTGGCATGCTTCTCTCACTTTCACATGGTCAATTAGGTCTCCTGCATTTACCTGCAAATAATAACATTGTTGGTTCATTAAATACATGTCTTGTGAAATACACATGTAACCAATTACTTACACGTTTCACATATAACCAGAAACTTTTACCACTTCCTTTCAACTAATTCGTTACACATTCTTCATATTACACAACTTTGACTACATGCATTCAACCAATTCGTCGCAGATTTCAGAGACATTCAACCAATGGCTTATATTACAGGTTTCAGATAAGAAATATGGACACGGTTGTAATTTCTTTACATATGTTGCCCTTTCCCGACAGTTGTTTTATAATTCCTAAATATTGCCATTTCAGTGATTTTTTTCGCCGAATGGACTCATTGCTAATTACCCCATCCGATTTACTTCCCCTGCTACATTTACTTAATCGAATGGCCGACTTTTGTAACTGCCGAGCATGTAACTGTCTCAAAGTACCTTGCTACATTCCTCCTCCATGAGTAGATTTGTCAAGGCTCCTGATTGGAATTTCGCATTGGTGATGCCAGCAGCGCGCGACGACACATCACATCGCAGGAGCAGCTTGTTGGGTGTTCCGCTTGTCAACGCGCAACAGCGTTCCGAAACGCCATGCTGCCCGTCGCACATTGCTGCCCCACATCCCTCTACAACGTTCACTCTCAGGAAATGCAAGTCGGCATTGCGCACATACAGTGCCTTCGTGCTCCCACTCACCGCCCACTCACTCAGGTATGGGGTTAGCACGGTGCCCAAACACTGGTTCTGCAGTGGTAGCAATGGTTGCTCTGTACTAAGAGCTGCCAATCCAGCAACCACAAACTCAAATTCCGGTTCGTAGATGCAGATGGTCATGCCTATCCATCTGCAGTCCTTCATGAGGAACAGTTGCAGGGCTTTCCTCTCGTCCTTGCAGTAGACAAGGAACAGCATGCCATGAGTTATATCTCTGCAATGAAATATTTCACAATCACATGTAGTCAACATCAACCACGCACATAGCAATTAAAACAGAAAACCATTAGCACTTCACAAAACTGCAAATTCCCTTGCCACATTCCAAGTATACGTCCCTAATGGCAGAAATTCACATTCGCATTGGTTAGGCTTTACACTCTCACAATCATCACGAAACTCGCATACACGCATCATTGCGCAACGAGATGCTCTGCTGATTGCCGAAAACATACGATCTAGGGTGATGCTTAATTAGGAGCAATTGCCAGATGAGTAAGTCCCATGCAACTGCAATGTCGTGAAGGGTTAGGGTTACGTTACGTTAGGGATACGTTAACCCTAACTTGATATTACAACATTCATTATTTTTAGGCGCGTTCACACGGACGAGTTTAGCCCGAGCCTAATTACGCCCGTGCCATATTTCATTATTTGGTCCCATTAAAAACGTTGCATCACGCCCAAGCCACATTTACCACCAACTAAAATGGTAGAATGCTACATGCAGCGAGTGTCGACTTCTCCCAGTCTACCCATTTCAACGCGTTTGATCTATCAACAAGTTAAATTATCCATTAATCATCAATCTGGCCGAAAGATGACAGAGGAAGTCACTCACTAACTGTAGTCACGAGGACGATGTACTTATTTAGACCTCCTGAACATATGGAAGGGCGATTTCATACAAGCGCAACTCAGTGGAACTTCCATCAATCGTATGGTGTATGCAAATATGTAACGACCACGTGTTACAAGGCACTCCCCCCCCCCCCACACGCGACGCGGGCTGCCGCGTCGCGCCGCGCGGTCGACAGAGGCATGACAGAGGCATGACATTACGGCGTCGCCCCTAGCAACCACTGCGATCAATAAGGCCTCCGGGCCATTCGCTCTGCGGCGTTGCCCCTAGCAACCACGAGCGATCAATACGACCGCTGGCAAAACGGGCGGAACAATCCAAGATGGCAGCCCGCCTACGCTTTGACACGCCGCCGAAGTACCGCTATGTCACGAGCACCCACGCCAGCTGGTCAGGGGATTAACACCACCCTCCCCAATTAGCGGCGTGTACGTGCCGTGATTAGCGGTTCCGGCTCTAGCATGGAGGCGAAGCCCGGTGATATCCCCGCGGCTAATGCGGAGCGACTTTAGAACCGCTCAACCGTGGGGTTTCGCCGGGTGGCGGGTCAGCTGGATTAGATGTGCTAAATGCACCGTGAAGACCTGTCAACACTGGCAGCGGCGGCCATGTTGACCGCTCGTGACACGTTTGTGAGGATAGACGGAGCCACCTCCTGGACGCTGGCACGGCAGAATACCGGGTCTTTCCCGTTAGGAGCCGCCACCGTCCAATGCGAACGTGGTGAAGCCAAGCGAGCGCGGATGCGACGGACGCGGTGGTTGGTCCGCCTGGCACGTGGGTGGCCATGTGCCACGCGCGTGGGTAGTAGACATGCTAAGTGTTTTTTTACTTCAACTCATGCTACAAATGTCCCCTTTGGCATAGTTCCTTAGAACCCTAGGAAAAAAATTATCCAAAGACACACGTTCTATCTCAAAATCCAAGATGGCCGCCGGTGGCCATTTTGGAAAACTTGATCGACTCACAACTCCTGAACCGTTTGTCATAGAAACTATTGTGACACATGTTTTTATTAGCTAATTTGAGGTCACTGAATTCATTTTTAGCATTAATTTTGCATTTGGAATACATTTAGAGGTAAAATTCAAGAAATAATACACAAAGTTGGCAATTCGATGAAATTTATGACAAAAAAATTTAGGGTCATTTTGATACTAGAGAAAGGAACTTAGACTTAGGCCATCCTTAAAAAATTCTATTTGTACACATAGACAATGCGTCTTAGACAACGTATCTAGACAATGCATGTTTGATCGATCGCTGCGGAACGCCCCTTGAAGGTAAGACTAGTACACCACTACAGGCAATCCAGCTACTGCAAACATGTCAAATTTCTGTTGTTGTCTTTAGGTTAGTCAATAATTAACACTAAAAGTGGTGGTTAAAAATCGTGACTGGAGCTTATGCTTCATATGCCAATCAGGTGAAGGTCATTGGCTAACTATGAATCCTTCATCATCAGTCAAATTGCGAAATATTCCGGAAAGACTTTTAGCTTGTTACAAAGAAGTTGTGGACAACATGCAGGACCTCATGGAATTAGGTGATTTGCCTGACTTTGTAGTTGTTGATAGCACTGGTGGTGGTGGTGGTGATGGTGGTGGTGGTGGTGGTAGTGCTCAAAATCTACTGAAACTAATGATGTGTAATCAAGTGGTGTGGCATAAAAGTTGCAGGAATGCTGTTGACATCCAAAAAGTGCAGAGGGCAAAGAAGGAACATCAAGACCAAGAGTCAGTCAGCCCTGTAAAAAACTCGCCGCATGAACAGTGGTGCCAAGTCCATCACACAGGCTTTTCCCTCAGCCTCTACATCTTTTAGCGAACCAGTTGACACTCCATGTCTCTTCTGTAATGAAATGGGCAACAGGAAAGATATGAGGAAGGCTGCCACTCTTGGCTTGGACAAAAGTGTCAATGATTGTGCTAGACTGTTAGGTGACAAACGTCTGCTGGCAAAACTTTCCACTGGTGATATGATCGTCATTAATGCTGTCTACCATTGTGCATGCCTGACACGGCTATACAGAAAAGTGGAGACAGTCGGTTGTGACATGACTGAGAGTCATAAAACTCAAGTGATGCGAGCACATGTTCTCAATGAGTTAGTTGACTTCATTGAAGATAATCGTAGTGCAGGCACCTCAATAGCAATGGCTGACATAACAGCCCTCTATGACAAGCGCCTTGCGGTTCTCGGTTTTTCCGACATCAAATGCAACACAACACGCCTTAGAGAAGAGATTGAGCACATGATCCCTGACATCAAGCCAGTAAAAATGAATCGTTGCTGGTCTCTTGTTTTTGAAGAGGATCTGAGAAAAGCTGTGAATATGAAAGACAGTACATCAACTGAGGTCTCCATCCTTCACAAAGCAGCCAAGATCCTCCGTCGTGACTATCTCCACATGAGGCAGGTTTTCACAGGCTCCTTTCCAAACGCATGTGAAGCTGAATCAATTCCACCTACATTGAGAACATTCCTGCACATGCTTCTTGATGGACCGGGTATTGATCAGCCACCTCCTGAATCAGACAAGTTCAAAGTTGCAACATCCATCGGGCAGCAGATAATATTCAACTCTGTTGGATGCAGATCAAAGAAACCTAGGAGTGTTTCACGTCACATCAGGGAGAGGGAAACACCAGCTTCGCTTTATATGGCTATGAAAGTACATCTTCAATCTGGCCGTGAATCTCTAATTGATGTTATGCATCAAAGAGGACTGTGCATCTCTTATGACCGTTTGAGAGTACTGAGTACAGACATTGCAAATTCAGTCATTGGTCACTGGGAGCAGGTTGGTGTGGTAGTGCCTCCTCAGGCTGTCAAGCATGTCTTCACTACAGTTGGCTTTGACAATATTGACTACAATCCATCCTCTACAACAGCAAAATCAGCTCTCCATGGAACATGCATCAGCATTCACCAGCACTTCTCTTCAGACAAACAAAAAGTTGAAAATTTTACAGACATCCTCATTCCAACTGAGATGGGGAAAAAGGTTGTGAGGTCTTTGCCAGCTAGCTACACGACCATGGATCTGGATGTCTCACTGCCAAATGATGAAGTCTTGCACGTTCCTGGACCAACAGTCATCCTTGTCCAGCTTCACGCTCTGTTACCAGTATCATTGAAGAAGGCTATGTATGGCTGGAGCGAGTCAGAAGCCTTCTACCCAAACAGAACCTTGAAGCTGGTGAATGGATCTCATGGGCTGCATATTATGCCAGCATCACAGAACCACCAGTTACTCCTCCAGCCAAGTCATACATGCTGCCTCTGTTTACTGAATCTCCTAATAGCCAAATAATGGTGTGGCATGGGATGAAAGTCCTCCGCCAGGCAATTAGCTACATCAATCCAGGTCAGACACCAGTCATGGTAGCTGATCAACCCCTCTTCACACTAGCCAAAAAACTTCAGTGGAAGTTTCCCCAGACAGAGCATGGTGAAGACTCCTATCTGGTGACACTGGGGGCAATGCATACGGAGAAGATGCTGTGGAGCCTGTCTGGTGACTGGCTGGATGGTAGTGGGTGGACTACAGCACTCACCAACAGTGGTATCTCAACCAGTGGGAAAGCTCAGTCATTCATTGGTGTACATCACATCTGCAGAACTCGATATATGCACCAGGTCTCAGCAGCTGCCCTCTACATGCTTATGAAGATGGCATATGACCAGTATGTTGACAAGGTAATAACTGATGATGAGGATGCCAATGTACCTGTTGATGCAGAGTCAAATGATCACATTCCTCTACCTGTTGACGAATGGCTGAAGCAGTTGTGTGCCTCCCAGCCCCAAGCAGATTACTGGTTCAAGGCCATGGAGCTGGATCTTCTCATTCTTCAGGTAAAAAGTGTCATATTTCTTTAATATATTGAAATATGTCTGCCATTACTTCCACTAAATAGGTTTGGCTTGATTAGATGTGCTAACTGATTGCAATATATATTAGTGACCTCTGACACCAATAAAATACAGGAGAAATGTCTCACCACACTCAGATTTCACCAATACAACCATTGTATTGATTTATATCTCCACACTTTTTAAGTTTTATAGTAAATCTTTTGAATAGGGTATTTTAGATATATTACATTTTTTATTTCTGTTTTGATTTTTTGTTTAAATATGTGTCTTCATATACATGTGCATTGTCTTGAGTGTGCTTTACTATGATCTATGATTGTCTTCATTTCTTTTTCAGTTTGTCAAGTCATGTCGTACAGCTGACTTCTCACTCTACATGGAGACTCTTGATTCTTTCTCTGATGCCATGGGTCTTTGCACTGGATCATACCCACTATGCTCGGAATCTGCCCATCCATCTCCGTGACATGGCAACGCTGGAAGAACGACATCCTGCCCTGTTTGTGGAGTTTCAGCGTGGTCACTTCATGGGACAGAAGTCGAGGCGAGCATTCTCAAATATCCCACGTGACCAGATGGATGAACAACTCATCGACTGGCTCAAGAATCTTGCTGGTGTCATTGAGAACCTGGATGACCCACGCACGGTTCGTCGTGAGCAGGTTGTTCGCCCTGAGATGGCTCGCTTAGTCAGGGAATTTGAGGGCACAAAGGAGTCAGATGAGCGGATGCACCATGAACAGTATTCCAAGTTCCAAATAGACTACAAGGTAAATTTCCTAATACATTTGAAACTGGGAGATACCCTAATTTTCAGTGGTATGAATATGTTTAATTTTGCAATGCCTACAATGTATGTGTTTCTTTTTTTCCAGTCTGATGTGCTGGATCTGGTGGATGCATTTGAGCAGCTGGGAAACCCCTTCATGGAAAAAAGTGGTGAGCTGCTTGACCTAGATCAGTCAATCCTCTTGCCTCCAGAGGTGGTAGATAATGTGAGGAAGGTGAAGGACATTGGGCTGGAGCGATACAAAGCATTTGTTGACAAGCGAATCATATCTCAGGAGGAGGCATTTACTGCATCAATACCTCATACCAAGCTAAAGTTGTTCAAGGCCTCACTGTCTCAACCACGCAGAAAATCAGAGGTGGCTGTTGTCAAGGACCAACAAGCCAAGGTGACCCAGATTTTGCTGGCAGCTCATTCAGGTCGCAGCATCAATGAGTCTGTGTTCTCCCGTGAGAGCACTGCACATCCCCCCTCACTTACCCGGAGAGGACACATGCACCATGGAACCAAGAGTGAGATTCTGGACTGCATTGTCCCAGGAAATCTTGACAATCATAGACCTGTGACAACTGCTGCTGTGCTGGATGGTGCTGTGCTTGTTCAAATGCTTCGTCCTAGAAGTTCTGTGACCATTGGAGACTATATCACAGATGTGTTTGTTCCATACATCCTCTCCTGGTTTGAAACAAATGATCGGGTTGACATTGTCTGGGATGTCTACTCCAAGACTAGCCTCAAATCAGGAACTCGGGAGCAACGAGGCAGTGGAGCACGGAGACGAGTTACTCTTTCGACCAAAGTTCCTGGCAATTGGGCTGATTTCTTACGTGTGGACCTCAACAAGCAGGAGTTGTTTGTGGAGCTGGCCAAGAGATTGAAGCTCACAACACTTCCACAGGTTAGTTGAGAGATGGTTGTAAACTACTGACATCAAATTA